TGGATCTCAAAGTATTTTTTGCTTACTTGAATGTATGTATGGCTCTTATGCTTACAGGACTAGACTCGATAACAATGTTCAACCGACATCGCGGAAATGTCGGTCGCCAGACTCTCTGAGAAAACTTAAGTCACTATATTTTTCTTTCTTTCTTTCTTTCTTAATATTTCACTATTCTTAGTTTGTCCATTTTTTCTTTCTTTCTTTCTTTCTTTCTTTCTTTCTTTCTTTCTTTCTTTCTTAATATTTCCTATACTTAGTTTGTGCTTTCTTTCTCTTTCTTAATATTTCCCTATTCTGAGTTTGTTCTTTCTTTCTTTCTTTCTTTCTTTCTTTCTTTCTTTCTTTCTTTCTTAATATTTCCTATACTTAGTTTGTTCTTTCTTTCTCTTTCTTAATATTTCCCTATTCTGAGTTTGTTCTTTCTTTCTTTCTTTCTTTCTTTCTTTCTTTCTTAATATTTCCTATACTTAGTTTGTTCTTTCTTTCTCTTTCTTAATATTTCCCTATTCTGAGTTTGTTCTTTCTTTCTTTCTTTCTTTCTTTCTTTCTTTCTTTCTTTCTTTCTTTCTTAATATTTCCTATACTTAGTTTGTTCTTTCTTTCTCTTTCTTAATATTTCCCTATTCTGAGTTTGTTCTTTCTTTCTTTCTTTCTTTCTTTCTTTCTTTCTTTCTTTCTTTCTTTCTTTCTTTCTTAATATTTCCCTATTCTGGATTTTTCTAACTTTTTTCTTTATTTCTTAATATTCTCTATTCTTAGTTAGTTCTTTCCTTCTTTTTATCTATCTATCTATCTATCTATCTATCTATCTATCTGAATAATTCCCTATTCTTTGTTTGTTCTTTTTTCTTTTTTCTTTTTTTTTGTTAATATTTCCTTGATCTTCTTTCTTAATATTTCCTTTCTTTCTTTCTTTCTTTCTTTCTTTCTTTCTTTCTTTCTAATAACTCTCTACTCGGTCACCAGAGTGGATAGTTGGTAGGATGTTTTACTGGAAACTTTGGAATAAATCGAACTGACTCAAGGGTTTAAAATAAATAGCATATTTTTATTTATTTTCTATACAGTGAAGAGTGAGTCCTTTGGTAGTCGGCGTAGCAAAATGTTCGTTAATAAAACTAAAAGAAAGACAAAACTATGTGTAAGAATATTGGTAGCAGTCTGGAGAAATGTCCGTTAGTGGTAGTTTGAAGTCAGACGTTAGTAGGGATAATGGTAATCTTAGAGATTGCTCACTGTTAATCTACTGTGTTTTTCTCGGTCTTAAACAGGATAGAAATATAATAAGTAGATGGACTCTTAGCTTTTCCTTCACTCGTCACACATGGCTTGTTTCTACACGATAGCGTTTCTGTTCGTCAACTTGTCATCTGTTCTTCATTTAGCTCCGAAGTGTTCAGGTTTATATCCTTTTGTCCAGACTCCGAGATTTTGGTGATAACATTGGTTTCGGCTAACATCAAAAGTCTCTTTGTGTTAATTTTTTTTGATTGACCAAAGTTATTTTACTTTCCGACGTTCTTTTCTTTTTCATTTTTTTTTATAACGGAACTTATGTGTGAAGCCTTCTTGATTTTTCGTATTTTTCAGTCACAAATAAGTAAGTCCTGCTCCTGCAAACTTCCGACGTTTTTTGGCGAAGTTCAGTCTTTTCTTCTTCCTTTTTTTTATTTGAGGGTCGCCTTTTCGTTATTTGAGAGAAAAATATAGAGAGGAATTTAGAGATAGAGATAAATAAAGAGGTTAGGGTTTTAAAGGAAAGCGCAAATGCTTTACTTTAATTTGAATTTTTTTTTATTTTTGTTTATATATTTTATTTTTATATTTTTATCAGGACTCACTACATGTTATTTAATATCAGACTTTTAGATAGACCAATTAGGGGTCGAAGTCACTACTGAGTAGAAATGGTCAACCAGAAAATCCTCATTAACAGTTACCCCAGTGTTGTAATGGAATGTCCCACACTCCCTATCGCCTATGTGGAGTGATTATATCAGTAGATATATATAGTAAGCACAGGATATACCTGGAAGTTTGTTTCGGCAATTAGTTGGAGATTCATCTTCAGTTGTGCCGGTCAAACTCTCTGCCTTCGGGCAGAGAGGAACCAAGTCGAGGCTATGCCGAAGGACAGAGTCTCGTCAGGGTGGTAGACAGCTACCCGAGCCCGTATATACGGGCTCTACAGGGAATTTTTGCACGAGCCTATGGGCTCGGTTTCGCCCCTCGTTAAAAAATGGCCTTGTGCCACATTCTGCCTCGCGGAGAGGTAAGGTAAATAACTTTGCTTCGGCAATTAGTTGGAGATTCGTCTCCAGCTGTGCTGATCGAAGAAAGGAACCCAGACGAGGCTATACTGAAGGGCAGAGTCTCGTCTGGGGTGGTAGACAGCTACCCGACCCTGCGTATACGGGGTCTACAGGAAATTTTTTCCGAGCCTACGGGCTCGGTTTTGCCCCGAATTAAAAAAGCGGCCTTGTGTCACATCCTGCCTCGCTAGGAGGTAAGGTAAATATCCTTGCTTCGGGAATTACTAGCCTGATAACCGATTCCCTCTCTTTCAGTGGAGTATTCTCTTTTACAATAAACCTCTCCTTCTTTCATCTACGCCCGTGTTGCACGAGTACCACCTTTCTCTGTTTGTAACCTCTTTAAGGATACAATAGTAAGGCGCTTTCTTTCCACCATTTCACAAAGTTGTTATTTTATAAAGTATATTTTTATATATCCAAGATTAAATACTATAAACTTCAAAGATTTTATTTTAATTGTAGCTACATAATGGCATGTCTGCTGACTCTTTTATATTACGTATTTTGTAGATTTAATTTTTGTCTATCGCCTTATTTCAGAAAGAACACTGTAGTCCTTGTTTTTTTCTTTTTATTAACACCTTCTTTTAAAGCAGTGAAATTAACTTGAGAGCGAGTCATCTTATGCAGCTGCAGTTGCTTCAGACATCATTGAATATTATGCACACAGAGACAGACCTGACGTCAACGATGCGCTTATATAAATGCATGTATATATTTATATAAATGGTTGGATATAAACTGTCTGTGATATATATATATATATATATATATATATATATATATATATATATATATATATATATATAGATAGATAGATAGATAATGCACAAACTGACATAGATAGATAGATAGATAGATAGATAGATGCTAATGGAAATAGCAATGGTGGCCCTGTCCCTATAAGGAAACATTAGATATTTATTGACCGAGCAGTTAGTGCTACTTTCGTTTGAAATTTATAAAATATTTCTCTTAAAACAATTCTCCAAGAAAATAGGTTTCTCAAGACCAGTGGCTGTTATCGCTCTTTCCAGTATTGAATGGTGCTTCCTTCCTAAACTTTTGTCTGAAGTAGCGTGGAATGTCAACATCTTGATTATATCATTATTTACTCTTTGAGCTACATGCGTTATCCATTTTAGTGTGTTGTTGCTGTCATTCTCAAGGGATATAGTCCGTATTATATGGTACATTTCTTTGTTTGTGATTCTGTAGTTCCAGTCCAAAATGTTCTAAGAAGGATGGTTTTCATCAAGATTCACAAGCTTCATTCCTATTTTTAACCATTGATCTGAGAAAGCGGTTGATTACTGCTGGCAGTTTAGATATTTTTGAACAAGTTTGGCGCCATGCATGGCACCAAGCAAAGAGCCTCGATCTGACGAGGCTATTTAAGGAATTGACTCGAGTTGTTTTTTGCTAATGTTTTGGTTTTATATTAATTTGTGGATTTTGGCAAAACTATCACTAGCTCAGTAAATGTTCAATTTTCTTATCGCGTATATTAAATTTGTTTTAACTGATCCATACACCGGGGTATCTGAAGTGTTTAGAATTTATTAATTCCACATCCTGAATTTATATGATGGATTCAGGGTAGATGCCATTACTACTTTCATTCCAGTTCCAGATCATAGTTTCTTTTTTGAAAAAGGTATATCACGAGTCCTATTTCTTGGAATATTTAGTAGCAGGTTTTTCATTTTCTGTTCAAGATCGTTCTTATCCCAATTATGAATACTTACACTCTTGTGCAAATTAATTGAAACAAAACGATAATTCCATTATTTACTTTTTTTTTTGTATTTTTCCAATGAAACATGACCCACTGCACATGTTAGTACTTCGTCTGTTCATTCAACGAAGTCGTTCCTTGTAGATTGACCACAGATTCTTGATTGGATTTAAATCAGAGGAGTTTCCGGGCCGATCTTTAATACTTTGATTTGCTCACTGGTATGTGTTCGTACAGCGATACAATTTTCGTACACTTCCTTGGAGTAATGTCCATTGCAGACAATGGCCGTAGGACAACTAATCGACAGTCGAGACAATAGTGTCTGAGCGTGATAAAAATCTGATGCAATCACAAATATTTTTCAAGGCGAAACAAGTTTCATCATACACCCCGAAAATAGATTCATATTAGTGCGCACCACTACAAATGACCTAATCTGAGGAAAAAATAAAAATCTATTGCACCCTGTCAATCCAGTGGGTCTAAAAGGAAAAAAAAGAAAACTAAAGCGGTTGTTTCAATTAATTTGCACAAAGGTGTATGTTATTGTCATAGCCCCCATCTTATCATTGGCCGCTGGAAGGAAAGCAGGATTGTTGGCTTCCATTTGTTGATTTGTTTGGTATGTGGCAACCAGTGCCCATCTCTTCGCATCTATGCTTGTAACTGCGCAGGACATAGACCAGGAAAAGATTAAATAGACTAGAGATCTCATTTTCTCTTTGTCGTACTCTTGATAATGTTTGCATTGTTTCCGTATTGGAATTCTCGCCAGACTTGTAAGACTTGTAGACATATGACGTTCCTCTTAGATCGATGCATTCGGTGGATTCTATTGGATGAGAAGAAGTGGTCTCTATTGATGACGTCATATGCTGCTGTAAGTTCGACAAAGCAACTATTGGCATACAGCCATATAGCGTTATATCCGCAAATCCAAGCTTACAGCACCTGGTATTCCCAAGCAATCACCCACCCTAGGTATTGACCAAACTCGACTTTGCTTAACTTCTGTGATCGTACGGGAACCGGTGTTCAAACGTGATATGGCCATAAGTCGAGCATTATTATAGGTACCTTCAAAAATCTTCTAAGAGTATATCATCATGAAAAAGGCACCAAACTTGATAAAAAGTTTTATCGTCAGAATGTTTATGTTATTATGAAGATGAAAGACGAAAAATTTTTTTAATTATTTTATTAAATTTTTTAATCTTTTCTAGCACGTTCGAAATTTTGGTTAAAAATCTTGTTTTCCTTGCGTAAGAGGGTGGGCCAAAAATTAGTATAGGGATTTTTAGTGTCTTTTTTTTGTTTGGCGTTAAAAACCTTTGTTTTGAAAATCGATAATTGTCGGATTTTAATGAAATTTTCAGGGCTTATTTATAAGTGAATGAAATTGATTGTCTTAAGATAAGAAAAAATATTTTGTTTTGGAGAGATATTTTAATAAAGAGAATTACATTATGATGAAAAACTACTTTTTTTTGGTATTTAATTAACTATTTTATTTTTTATGCATCACATTTTTTGTTCTGTCTTTTTTTTTAGATGGTCCCTATATTTAATATATATGCGCGTTAAAATAATTTTGTTTTGTCTTGCCGATCCTCAGACATTCTCCATTTCGTTTAAGTTCGCGAAAATCAGCCGATGTCAGGTCGCTATGGGAACAAACCATTAGTTTCGTGCTCAGCCGCCCACACAATATGACTGCCGTTCTACCTGTCCGCTCTTAGCCAGTTGTCTATGTTGGCCGCCCACACAAGTTGAGACTCGGTATTTGCTATCAGCTTAATATTCTACTTCAACGCAGCTGTGGGATCATCCTTTTACTTGTACGTATAAATGACGAAAGTAAGGAGAGAAAAAAAAATACGTACTTGTTTACTAATATCCATGACTTGAATACATTATTTCTATTTCATATTTCACAGTTGACTAGTTCAGAAACTGTCGCTTTTCTGACGGCAAAATGATTTCAAAATTAAAATTGTTTGTCCATTTAAAATGTTACATTTATTAGAGAATATATATAGTATAGCTGGCCACTCCTTTTTGAGGATACCCGTCTGCTAGTGTGACACTATTTAGCTATGGTAATTGGTTAACTAATTAATTATAGAAATTTTAAAAAAAAATGGGAAATACTTAAGACGAGAAAGAGCTATATCGAAAAAAAAAAAAGAATTTATTTTATTTACAAAAAAAAAGATACTTTTCGCAAAAGTCAGAGAATCCGTAAGAAAAAGCGAGACTGTGATTCTGTCAAAATTAATTAATGTCCCGATAAGGGAGTGACGCGCCAAACGAAACAGAATTCTGAAAGAAAAACAAAGCCAACCAACGCATGCGACCATAAAAAAAAATTTCAGCTTGAGACCACCACGGAGAATAGATATTAATTATCTTTCAGAGATATCATTTAACTTTAATTCCTAGTTCCAGCGATGGAAGCCATCTGGTATATGCACGAATCTTGGCATGAGAAGGAAAATCGAAAAGGGAATCATTATTATTGCTTATTCAAATTGTTGACGTCATACATAGCGTCTCGAAAATGAGCATCTGGTGATAAGAGAATTTTAAGGCATGAGAAAAATAAAGAATTTGATTCTCAGGTAAACACGACCAACCAGTTAAAAGTTGACTAGCGGAGAAGGTAAGTGTCGGGTTTTGACAATGATTAATGAATCGGTAGAGGTCCGGGCTAAGTGGATTTGAGTGTCCCCAAAATGAAGATGTGATAAGAATTAATTGGCAATCTGGGATTTGTAAATGTTTTGGCTGAAGGAAAACGAAAAAGAAAAAAAAAAAGGATTTTGTAAACAAAATTATGGAATAATTTTAAGAGGGCCAGTCTAGCCACACCCACACTGCCGACAGATCGTTGGTCAAGTGGTAGCATGGATGATAGGCGGAGGTGAATGTATGAGAAAGACGGGGAAGTTTCTAACACCCACTGAGGGCATTGGTATGAGATACCAATGTGAGAGAGGAAGAGTCTAGGAGGATAACTCTCCTCCCACCTTCCCTCACGGACGAGGGAGAAACCCCCGAAATGGAAAGTGATTAATCTTCCAAAAATGGGAAGTAATTAATTTTCCTGGCCTAAGAACAAAGAAAATTCTTGTTGGGAATTGAGAATTGTCAAAGAACCCAAACCACGTCAAGCCCACACATCAGGTTTTGGTCCGTGTCCATATAAACGAACGTCTCGAGGCAGTTAGACAGTTCGGAGTTCCAGTCAGTTCCATTCAGTTCGAGTTTGGAGTTAGTTCGAGAAGTTGGAGACCAGCCTCGCAGAAGGTGACCGAAAGATTTCCACGTCCTCTCGACTTAGTCTTCCTACCAAAAGCAAGTTTTTATTGACGAACGACTTAAGATACCATAACTCGCTTAAGAAACGCAAAAGTGTCACGAATCCATAGAAACGGGCTGGGTGAAAAACACACTCCTGTATTCAACAGATAGATAAAGATAATTGTTATTTCTCAACATATTTGAACCTCTTGAGTTTGTTTTATTTTTATTTTTTTACTTACGCTTTGCCGTATCACCTTTAACCCGGATTCAACTTGCACTACGACCCGACGCCTGATTGGTTTCGTCTACCTAAGATCAAAGTCACAATGTGGGTAGGTTAGACTTGAGATCAAAGCAGTTACTTCGGTGACCAAGCGTTGGATGCGAGCTGAGAACGACAAAGCTGGTATCGAAGCGGAAACGACCAGATCGACCGGGACACAGGCAGGTGGCAGCGACAAGGAGTCAATCCCAAAACGCTGGTGGAAGAAACCTTACAGCTTCGCACCGCAACTGAAAGTTGATCACGGGCCGACGGCGTAGTGTCATATATTGACGTCGCGAACAGTGGCGCGGCGACAGCACCAGTGGGTGTCACACTAGGGCAGCTAGCCAATCCCTATGGCAGACACTTGCTCAGGCGCATTAGGGTTTATTCAATACCCACAGAGCCCACCTGTGGTTTATACTGCAACTAGGCTGAGCAGACCTTAGATACAGGGAATTCACTGAAATTGTTTTTTAAAAAAACATACAGGAAAGGGAATACACAAGATCTGGCATGTTTCGATAATTTTAATCTTACAACAAAAGCCAAGGATTAACTATTATAAAGGGTGTTCCAAATGTGAATTAAGTTTAAGCGTCTACTGATTTTTTTTCTTTTTCTTTCAGATTTAACAACTTAAGTCTTTGGCAATTTCAACCATGGAAAGATTAACAATCAAACAACGTGTTAAAGTTATCAAAGCCTATTACGAAAATGGACGTTCAAACAGAAATGCAATAAAAAGTTCCCAGGTCGCATGGTCTCTCGAAACAGTGAAGTCAATTGGCCACCATGATGGTGCGACTTGACGCCTTTAGGTTTCTTCTTTTGGGGTCATCTCAAAAGTACGGTTTATGCCAACATAACAAAAACAATTCAATAGTTGAAAGATGAGATAATAAGGCATATTGGTGAACAACTATGCAGAGACGTCATAAAGAATTTTGACCATCGAGTGGAGGTGTGTCGCCGAAGGCTTGGCGTACATTTGGGTGATATTATTTTTCACACATAATTGCCATGACATAAATAACATGATCCAACAGAGTGCCTCGAGGAGGTAGTGCTGCTCTGGGTCAAGAGGGTGGCTGCTGAAGACCCTATGTCTGGCAACAGGATTCTGCACCATGCCACACGAGCAGAAGACCCTAGTCATGGTTCTCAAACAATTTCTGCGACCACATCACCCCTTACATATGGCCACCTAACTCCCCCTTGATTATTATGAGTGGGGTGCAGTTGTCAGAGAAACCAACAAAACTCCTTGTAACACCAATGATGAACTGAAGGCAAGGATCATAGCAGCATTCACCAACTTAAACAAGGAGACCCTCCAGAAGAGATGCAGGAGATTCCGAAGTCGTCTGGAGGCCTTGGTTGAAGCCAATGGCGGTTTTATTGAACAAATTTAGTCTATAGCATTTCAAGATATTTTTGTGCAATTTTGGTAAATATGTATATTAAAATATGTCAGTGTTCTTTTTATCCTTGCGTAATTTAGATGACAATTTATCCATCGCACTCTGTATATATATATATATATATATATATATATATATATATATATATATATATATATATAGTCGCCTGAAGATCACGACAGCTTGAAACTTAAGTAGCGACTCGAGCTGTGCTTCACTGAGGGTTGACGCTGTGAAACGTTAGCGTTTTTTTGTTTTTTGTTTTTGTTTTTGCTCTCTCTGGATATCCTAGGCGTTGTGCACTGTTATTTACTGTTTAAGTAAGTGCTTACCTTTTGGTCTTTTATTCTTTCTTATTTTAGAATTTCTTTCTTGTCTAAGTTTTTTCGCTTTTCTCTCTTTTTTTTTTTTTAGTTCTTTTGGCAGGTGGTCGGTTGGCTGTACCAACATTTTGGAATTTTTTAGTATATCGAAAGAGAGAGAGAGATAGAAACAGAGATTATAGCGACTGAAAGAAAGAAAGGATAGATAGATAGATAGATAGATAGATAGATAGATAGATAGATAGATAGATAGATATTGTTAAAATATATTATAGTTATTGGAGAAACGTGGGTTGGTATCGTGGATAGAGCGTTTATAGTTATACACAGTGTATAATGACTAGCAGTTTCACACCTCAATGTAATCGTCTTTGTCTGAAGATGGCTCTGAAGCGTGAAACTGATAGTCATAATATACTGCTGATTTTTATGTCCACACTGTTTCTATCTATCGATCTATCTATCAATCGTCGGATATGATAAGGTAATTTAATTTATTGCTTATCTCAAAATTCTCAACTCATTTTCTTTACACGGAATTTTGTCCTAGATTTAACCTGAGCTTTACAGACGTCGACGAAACGCATCGTTTATAAAGTTTTCCATTTTGTCGATTTTTTTTTTTTTTTTGGGGGGGGGGTGAGGGATATTATACGTCCTACAAACACACGCAAATATGAACACACGCACACATATATATATATTAAAATTTAAATATAGTAAAGGACAAGAGGAAA